GGGGAACTGTTTAAGGAAATGTTAGCTGGACATACCTATGAGTGAAGTAGGTGGTGTAACCTGTGAGTGAAGCAGGTTGGGTTGAGTGTCAGCTAGACATACCTACGAGTGAAGTAGGTGGTGTAATCTCTGAGTGAAGCAGATTGGGTTTCAATGTCATTCGACGAGTAGGCAGCAGAGTGGCTGGTCCTTATTCGGTGGGCGAATGGCTGGTTTAGAAGTACTCAGTTGTTATGTCATGCAACAGTAACAATTTGAGAGCTTGCAACATAAAATTGAGTTTGTTGTAATTCTCGCTTGTTGGCAGATGACATAGGGGAGAGACCGGAGAGGACAGGTCTAGAGAGTACAGAGAAGAAATCGGAAATCAAACAGTTGAGCATGCCTTGCCCGAAAGAAGATAAAGGAAAGTGAAGTTGAACTGAAGCCAATCCTTTTGTAGGCTAGTTTCAAATATGTGAGTTGATCGATGGTGTTTATGCAACTGTATATGGAGATTTTGGAGCTTGTGGAATTTGTAATAAGATGGCTGACATGATATCCAAGATTGTGAAGGTTGGAGTGCTTCTAAGATTCTGAAGATGGATTGAAGGAGCTGTTGCTGCAAGGGTTTGTTTTGTTTGCTGCTGTAAGAGGCTTACTACTTTGACTTTGCTACTATTGAAGAACTGTTGGTGATGCGTTGAAAGTTAATGGAACAAGTTCTCGAAGATGCTGAGATTGATGATTGAAGAATTAAACTGAAGGCTTGAGAAGCTTCAGTTTAGGGGAGGCTATGTTGGGTTAAACAGATCATGTGTTGGACTTTTGTGTTGCCTTTTGAGTCATGTTGTGTCGTTTTAGTTAACTAGCTTTGTTAGGTCTTTGGGTCGTGCAAACCTAGAGCTGTTAGTTTGTTAGCAAATTTTCAGGAGCTTAGTTAGTGGGTTAGAATGTGGTTAGTGCTGGAAACAAGAGTCTGATGTATTTAAACTTTGATTTTGTCATTCAATTAATAGGTTTTTAGTTTTTCCCAAAGTGAGACTACAGGTCTGACATCCTTGACTTTCTCCCTCTCCTTTTCGGATTTGCTCTCCTTTTCCTTGTAGGATACTTCGGTCATTAGATCGTTGTGCTCCTTTCTTCATCTTTCCTTTTATTTCTCCATGAATTTGAAAATACAACAAAAACGATAAAAGTAACAAAACTGAGAGAGAGAGAGAGAGCAAATGCTTTTCCTCCTCAAAATAAATACGAAAAAAACATTCATCAATTTGTCTCACAACTATCTTTATGTAGGCATCTCTTAAAAAATAATTCAAATTTTGGGTTCACCACACACTTTATGCATTTACTATCATCGAGATAATATCCTAGAAGCAGAGCATGATAGGGTAGCAAATATGATGAGCCAAAAGAGATGAATGACCTAAAGCATAAATGAATTATGCATAGAGATTAGTGTGCAACTTGATATAAAATACCTTTTAAACTAAAATGCAAATACAATTTTTAAAGGTTTCTAGCACATAATACATCACTTCAAATAATCCATCAAAATTTCCGAACAACATGTCATTGGTAAATTTGAATTTGTTTGACACAAGTAGAAATATAAAATTCCAGTTCAAACGAAATCAATGCCTCTTGAATCAATCTAGGAGTAGTGGGTACTTACCGAGAAGTTTTTGAATGCCTAGGGGATGTGTAGTGAGAGAAGAGTATGATGCATATGACAATAGCCGAGATTCCCGGGTTGTCTCCTCGATAGCTTTTTCCTTTTACGTCCTTAAGTTTTACGCTAGACATAGTTTGCCTCCCATGAAACGCTCCTTCTTTTATGGCTTTGAGCTAGCCGTAACTCCAAGCTCTTTAAACTCCCCAACTAAGGGCTTCCTTGAATTCAAACTTCAGAAGTAAAAACTCCAGTTGTATGCCATCCTTCTTCCTTGTTTGGCTCGATGGTGGACCAATACCACCTTTGTCTTCACCATCCACCTTTCAATCCACACTTCGATTATGCCTTGTGCACTTCATAGCGGTATCTCCAAATGGCTTCATTAAACTTTGAGAAGGGGATGTAAGGGGGTCATGAAGAGATCCATCAATTCCAATGCTTGGGTCTCCTATGAATTGACGTAGGGCATCAATATATGGAGTTTTGCCAAGTTCTATCATTGAGGAGGGAAGATTGCTTGCATCATGTTCCTTTCCTTGGTTGGACACTATGTTGGTTTAATCCTCTACATCTCTGGTGGTGGCTCCTTCTTTGACGGGATAGGTTTATGTGGTTGCTCCCTGGAGGCTCCTCATATTTATGCTTCTCTTTAGTTTGGTCATCCTTGGGTGAAGTCTCTGCCTCTAAGTTCACTTTTTCAACATTTAGGTTTTCCAATGATTGTGTTAAACCTTGTCTAATAGGTTTAGGTGGATCATCAAACTCAACCACTCCTTTTTAGACATCTTCCATGGCCGAGGATGCGCCGATAGGTAGGCTACTTTGTGGATGCAGATTGATGAAGACGAAGGAAATGATAGAAGCCTTTGATTGGTGTGATTCCTTCATCCTAGCTATTCCCATGAATCCATGAAAGTTTGGATTACTGTGTATTCTTCAAGACTACAACCTTCTCTATCCATTGCTCCTTCTAGATGGGGAATCTCTCCTTATATTCCTTCCAAAGACTGAGTTGTAAGCTTCTGGTAGTGCATCCTTGTATGATTTGCAACACCCTCTTCCTTGTAGGTTCGAGTTCTGCAACAAAAAACAAAGTAGAGTGTAATACTTTTTGAAAGCATTAGACGCGAGATTTTAGGTTCTTTCAAATACTATAAAAAATCTCCGACAATGGCGCCAAAAACTTGATGATGTTGTAGTATGAACTGAAACAATGATCCTACGTGTATCGACGGTCGTATTCCATGGGGTTTTGGATGACACTTGCTTTGAAACTAACTACTTATGCTCGAATAACAATGCAATGAACGGTGGGTTAAGGCTCTCTATCTATAGCCAAATTGCATTGTTTTCATCCATTTTGATGAAGTGGACATGCAGTGGCGGATACATGGCGGATACATGAAGGTTGAGACACCCCTAAAATTTGAAAAAATGATTATCTAACCTTCTGTAGTAGTTTGCATATGGGTACAAATAATATTTAAGTGATAATCTATGTGATTTGAACTTGGGAGACTGCGACTAATAGTAAATATATTTTTTATTAGATAACAACTCATTTGTAGTTGTTTAGATCCAAAGATAAGAGTAAAGGAATATTCTTATCCCCAATTATTTTCAAAACCTATAGATTATACCCAATTACGGGTTGCTCTTGTCTAGTAGGATATAACTAGAGAGATTTGTTGAGCAGTGTAGACACCGAATGTATTTTACCATTTTTTTATAATACGAAACACATCTGAACATTTATTGTAACAATTACTAATCGAATATTTTTTATATTTAAATATTATTCAATTATTTTATTTTTAAATTTAATTTTTGAGAGACGACATTAAATGTAAAATTTCTAGATCCACCACTAACCACTGTGGACATGATCATATCATTCATCAAACCCCTCAAGCAAGAGGTTTCCCACAATCTATAATGACCAAACCTTAAATCTTTCTTTCTTAGTCCCAAGTTTTCAGCCAACCAGAGCTGTCAATTTAGTGGAAGACAGACGGACAACTGAAGTTAGAATTGAGGTGAAGAAAGCAAGCAATGAAGTGTCCCCTACCATTTTACACAGTTGTTGAGTTGCTTGTGCGGATAGTAAACCCCTTTTTATCTTGCTCTTCATCTGTGGTTGTTGAACCGAACTTCGTGAAGAGTAATGTCAAACTGATCATGCCAACCCAGAAACGGCAAGAAACCCACCAATAATTGGAACCAATGGAAAAGGCAAAGAAATATCCTTCTTTCCCAGGAAGACCGAAGCCCTCTTATCCATTTCCCAAAACATCCAAACCAGCCAAAGACTGTTGAAGAACAGAACAGTTGCTCTTCATATTGTGTTTTCAGAGCAGCCAGCTGCTAACCCACCAACAACAACCCAACAACACTGTAATCTTTCATAACCACCTCCCTCCATTATTACCCAGCTGGGAATTTTTTTGCAGCCAAAAACCTTAACATTTGATCTATGTATCTTGTCCTGTCGGCTCTGTTTTGACCATGGACCCATTTCCATAGCATTGTTCCTCCCTCTCCAAGCTGCAACAAAACCAACCTGTCTCCTTTCTCTTAGATTTTGCCCACTATAATCAGATTTTCTCTATTCCTGTGATGTATTTCCGTCATAAGAAGATCAAAGAACTATCGAACCCCACTTCCCTTTTGTTTTTGTTTTTCTTTTAGGCCTCTTACTGAGAAAGGGGAAAATATCAGAGAGTAGGACCAAAAACCAATGCCGTCTTTTCTTTTTTGGTTTTTTGCCGAATGAAATCGACGGATCCCTACTCTCTCCTACATATGGATTTCGTTACTTTCTTTTCTACTCCGTTATCCATTGGCTTCCTGCCCCCTTCTTCCTTACTGTTGATTATTCTGAACTTTGAGTAGTTCCAAAGCGACGGGGACGATTCCCTCTGGGTGTAGCTGAAAGCTCACTGTTCCCCCCCAAAAGCTCCCGATGTTTCAGCACTGAAATCATTTCTGGGCAAAAGTCGCAAACTTTACCACATTTCTGAGGAATCCCTTTTCTGGGGGTCTTGGCTTCTTTGTCTTCCGTCACGGTTTTCTTGGGTTTTAGCGCATGTGGGTTCTCTTCTCAACTCCTCTCTCTGTTTGTCTTCTTCTGTTTTGAAGAACTTGCTGCTGGCTCCTTTCTCCTCTTCTTTAAGTTCCGATTACCCTTGGATTTTATCTTCTTCTTTTCGGGTCTTCAATACATAATAATAAAAAAAGCAGTCCACTTAACAAGCAGCTGTATTGACTGAAACTTTGGAGAGAATCACTATTGGGATTGGAGGTGGGGAGAAAATCAATTGGGAAGGTGGAGAGAAGGGAAGAGATGATGGGTTCAGGGACAAATTTCGTTGCTACTGTTATTGGATTTGCAATGAGTGTTACTTTCATCATTTTTATTTGTACGAGAATCATCTGTTGGAGATTGCGAGGTGGAGATTCGAGGCCAATGTTTGAGATCGAGTCCAGGATTGATATCGAGCAAGAACTGGTATTCTTCTCATTTTCTCTTCCTTTTTGTGTTTCTAGAGCTTAGCTTTGCTGCATTTTCTTTGATTTCTTCTGAGATAAAACTCATAGAAGTTGTGTTTGGACAGCAGCCACCTTATCATCATCGAATGAATGGCCTAGAACCAGTAGTTGTTGCTGCTATTCCAACCATGAAGTTCACCCCTGAGGCTTTCAGTTCTGCAGAAGAGGCACAGTAAGTCAGAAAAAAAGCAAACACTTTTCCGTCTTTGCCAATTTGCAGCAACTAATCCTACATGAACTCCTTTGGAAAGATTGGAGCTTTATTGTTTGATTATGGTGGTTGTTGTTGCAGTTGTTCATTTTGGGAGTCCTTTTTGAGTAGTTGTTTGGGTCGTGGTTTGCTTTATAGGTGCTCGATATGCTTAGGGGAATACCAAGAGAAGGAAGTGCTGAGGATCATGCCAAAATGTGGACACAACTTCCATCTCTCTTGCATCGATGTATGGCTGAGGAAGCAATCGACATGCCCCGTTTGCAGATTCCCAGTACAACAGGACGACTCTTTTGAACCCAAACAAGATGCATCTTTCACTTCCAACTTATCTATGGATCTTTCAGAGGAGCATTCTAGGCAATGGCTGCTTCCTGTTGCTGATCCCTCACTGACAAACAATGTTAGCAGCAGCAGCAGCAGCAGCCGAGGGAACTCGATTGCTGTTCATGGTGTCAACCGAGAACTTACAGCTGTAGAGTCGCACACACGGCAGCAGACATGATGAAGCAAGATATTCCTGCTTGCCAGTGGTGGGGAAAAAAGACAGAATTCAGATCGGTGGATACTGTGTTTCTAGGCATTGGAATTGCAGATGGGTTAGAGTAAGTACCCAAGTACAGCTTTGGATTCTTTTCTTTTTTTGTATACTTTTTCTCCCATCAGTTCGTTTTTGTACAGAGAATTCAGAATCCATTCATGCCCTTCCAGAATAGCGATGAACCCTGATTAATCTTTAAGCGCTGAAAGTTTCTGTAACTCTGTTTTTATAGCCATCTAGCTACTTTCATAGTCTGGGTTTCACCAACTAACAGTTCTAGTTCTCAGCTTAGCTTAGCTTAGTTAGATAGGATGTTTACACCAGTGGTAATAGACATTATTGATTATGCAGGGATTTTACCTCGAGATTTATGCACCAAACTTTTGGATCATAAGAAGTTCAAAGCTTTGATGTCATATAAGAAAAGGTTTCCCAGCAACTTGGAATGGTCTGTAAAGTGTCGGCATCTAATCAAATCTTAGCAGAGCAATTTTCACATTGTAGGACATGAAATATGAGAAAAGAACACAACCTAACGTAAAATAGAAAAATAATAAAGGCGTTTTCAAGACAAATGATCACGAAACGATTAAAAAATAAGGGGAAAACATGCGTAATTAAGCACTTCTCAAACTACCTCACACTTAACTTTGTTCCCAAACAAACCAAGTAAAAGACCTTAAGTTGGCTTCTCCTTCATGACTCTGGTTCCTCATCTTTTCTTCACCATGGTTTGGTGTTCAGGAGAAGACCTAGGATTTCTATTGTGATTCTCCCGTGGATTCAGTTTAATGGAACTCGAAGTTAGGGATTCATTTCTTGTAGTTTCCCCCCATCGTTTTTCCTGGTGGGTTTCTCGGTTCAATAGCTTTCACCTGAGGTTTTATGGATCTCTAGTTGATTGGACATGTCCTCCTCATTTCTTGATGGGCTCCGCTCGTTGATCGTCTGTCGGTGGTTCGTCGGTTGTGGGTGGTGGTTTCATCTTCTCTAGAGACTACTGCTCTGCTGGGATTGGATTAGAATTGCTGCATGTGTTGGGCCTGCTTTTCATATGTGATTTTGAGATAAGGGGCAAAACATGTATAATTAAACACTTGGGAAATAAGGGGCATGTTTATAATTAAGTACTTATTAAACTCTCACAAATTTAACCGTTTGCTTTGCTTGTCCCCAAGCAAACTAAGTAAAAGACACGGTTCACCAAAAACACTTGTTTGAAAATTAATTCAGACGAAACCATAGGGGCACACGAAAACAATGAATAACGAGTGGTCATCAACATCAGCACACAGAGCAACACAATAGTGATAGTACCAACCACCACAAATGACATTCAATTGAAACAAGTTCATTCCAGTGAACACTCCTCACCAAACTTATAAAATCGCCCTTAAAACGATCGATAAATCAGAATCCCCAACTATCCAAACATAGAGAACAAGTCATGTAGAACAAGATATAGAGCAAACTAGGTCCTCACCAACATTTAAATACGAAAATGAAACTCTCAATACTCGACCAGTGGGGTCAATACCACAAAGTATGCATAAGATGTGCACGTTATTGCTCTCAATCCTATCATATCTCTGCCATGAAACCCACTTTTACATACTTGCAATCAAATATCCATAATTGGGTACTACTAACTTGTCAAGAAGGCTTTTAACCGGGTTTGTAACCTGGTTAGGGTCTAGGACATGGGGAAACCATATACAACTCAATTCGTTATCGGCTTTTCTGCTTTGATAGACTTAAAGTACATGAGTAAAGGAGGAAACTTTCAAACGATAGGAGTTTTTAGCCTTCGGGCTAAAAAATTACTCATTTTTCAATTTCAAACATTGTGGATGCTCTCCTTATTATTTTCTTCTCTTTTATGTTTTTTATTGCTTTACATTTTTCGGAGAGCGAAATTTCCACAATCATACTTTCAATAGATTTCCTCCACAACTCACTTTTAGGATGAAGCATAAAATTGTCCAAAAACCAACCACACAAAACCTTGAATAGAGATCAAACAAATGTAGGGTTAAACGAACAAGGATTGGCTTGAAATCATGTGTATCGACAAAGACACAGGTTAAGGCTCTACATGGGTTGACTAAAGGATATTATGATATGAGTAGTCAATTTGGTCGTGGTATATACCTATGAATCTATCTTCCTAATCACTGTGTCTCATGGAAAGTGTAAGCCAATTATCATGCGAAGAGGGAACTAATCACACATGAAAGAAATAAAGAGGAACAAATCTCACATGGTACCTAGATGCTCAGTCTCTCATGCAAATTCCTTACTTATATTTCATAAGTGAATAATTATACATGTTTGGATCCTCATTTCTAGATCGTTTGACTTGGTCTTAGTCGTTCCTTGGCCTATTGTATGCTAGGTCATGTTTGTTTTGTCATATTTCACGTCTTAGTATGTGAGTATGGCTTAGGAGCGATTTTTTAGGACATTTGGAGACAAACACAAGAAAAAGATGATCAATAGTCGAAAGTCACGACCAGGATGCAGAGGTCACGGTCTTGGCCATGACACTCAAGACATAGACCGTGACATGAGCAGAAAAGGAAGTAGAAAATCTCATGTCTTAACCGGCTATCTCAAGTAACAGTCACAGCGTGACATGAACAACGTGACTGTCAGCTCCTCCTTCTAACTAAAAGACACAATGGCATTTTGGTTCCAGTCACTTCTGGAGGTATAACGTGACGTCACGGTCGTGACTTGAGGCCGTGACTCATGCTCTGTCGAGGATAAAATGGTTTGACGAGTTTTTCTCGTGGGATCTGAGTTTTGGCAGCAGATAACAAGCTACAAGAGCCCTAAAGAGAGAAGGTGATGAGAGCACACCCCTTGGAGTTGATTTACTTGATTCCTCATTGATTGGAGTGAAGATTACTGTCCTAGAGTAGATTAAGATTGTCTACATAATTATCTCTTCTTTTCTCACTATGTTCCTCTCTCTCTCTATATAGACTAAGATTCTCTCTCTCACTTGAGTATGAAGAATCCTAGTTTTGTATGTTAGATTGATGTTCGTTTCAACCCTTGCTCATGGAGCTCGATGCTATTTATCTAGCCTACCGATTCTCCCTCACTCGGAAGACAAACCATCCAATTCTTTGTAATGCCTCGGTTTTGAAAATTCAAACGAAACCAAAAGAAATCTCAAAGTAAGAAAACTAAATATGAACCAAAAATTGAAAATTTGCGTTATAAACGAGGTACAGAAGAAAGTAAAGGTGTTGTTTACCCTACAGATTCCAGATTGTCATGCAACTCAAATATCTCTACACTCACTTTGATCTAAAATCCTATGCTACTTTGTTCAATTTCTCTTTTAGAAGTGTATTAGGATGGCATGCATATGGATAACTAATTGTCATCACACAACAATCTTGATACTGATTATTTTAACAGAATAGTCTGTCATACTTGCATGTTATTTCAAGATCACCTTCTCTTATATTTACAACAAGTATTTGGATAGGAATAACGATTTACAGAATTAAAAAGAAGGATAAGACTTTAATTGTATGTGTTTGATTTAAGTGTAAACAATTCGGAAACTTTAGAGGAGAAAGAATACATAAGCATCACTTTTTATTCCCTATTTTTTTCGTGTTCTTAAATTCTTTACATTTCTGCCTTTTAAATATTTCGGGTTTTACTTTTTTGTTTGAATTAGTTTCTAAGAAACTACATGGACAATTTGAAGTACTTAGTAGAAAAAGGATCTAGAGAATACAATCTCGGTAGCCTTCGTATCTGTTGAATATTTTTTTTTCATGTTCTACAAAGGATCAATAATTCATACCATTGTAAAGCAATTCTATCTAATAACAAAATAATGATGTTCAAGGAGTAATCAAAGTTTTCTACTAAGAAATTATTAGTCTCATAGCATTCTCATTTATTCTTGTTGATACACCATTCAATAGCAATGAAATCAATTTTCATTGAAAAATTCTTACGGACAAATAATTATTTTCAACGAGTCAATCATGATTTTCTACTAAGACATGAATATTACGACATCTCGCCAATGATTTTTGTTGATTAATTATAATTAAAAATGTATGCATCATCTTGACTATACAATAATTAAAAATGTATACCATTTATTAGGTTTGTACCGATTTTTATTAAAAACATATTAACATTAAAGGACCGTGAATTTGGTAGGTAGCTAATTAGTGCTCAATATTCACGATTACTAAAATAATTGAGTTTATCTCATTGTCTATGTGATTTGAATAATTGATTGATCATTAGAACAAAAAAAAAAAAATTTGAAATGGAAGGCCTGGTATATAACTCCATACATTAGCTTAGTACTTGCGTAAGGACAGCCAACAAAAGGAAGAAGAAGTCATTTTCTTCTGAAATCATCTCCTTCGGCTTCTTGTGCAGGCAGCACAGTAGTATACATTCTTTAATATACATTCTTTAATGGCTGGTAGGGGGCAGGTTTTATTGCTATCCTTTGCCATAATGGTTAATTTTATTGCTTCTTAAATTCTGAAAATTAGAAAAAAGTTTGAGCCAAACAATCCTAAAAAAAAAAAAAAAAACTGGAAAACAGTGTAAACCACCACATTATTTGTTGGTTCCCTTTCCAGCAACATTCTTATATATTCGTAATTTTTTTTTATAAGAGTGATGTAAATTCGTTTTTATCATTAGATACTGTTTTAAGAGATTCGAATCTAATATCTTTCAGGTTGCACATGAGTAATTCTATAGATTTTTTTTTACCAAACTATAGATTCATGACAATAAAATAAATACTAGAATGTGATAATTACAATATAAATAAAAACCAGAGGTTATATCAACAAGCTTCTTGAAATATTTACCGCACTTCAATATATACATATAATCATTACATAACTAATCTTGTTTTATTCTCTTAATCAACACCAAATGATATGAAGCAAAGACGTGTAGAA